TGCTTTGCATCCCTGGAACCGCCCTGGAACAGTTCCCAAAATTCCCTTGATGTTTCATCTCTCTCTTTTTCTCCCCCTCTGATCTCGCTATTCCACGCTCACCCTTCTCTTGGATGGGAAATGTATCCCAATCCGTCCATCGCTGTCAGCCTTTGCATGACCTTCCAGATAACCTTGCATCTCCTCTCCTTCCTCCTGGGTTTCCTTGACTCCCTTCAAATGAACTCGGAAAATGATTCATTGTGCAGATCCAGCATTCACACCTCGAAGCTCATAAACATGCAGCGTACACTGTAACTCTACTCCTCAGCGAGTTGTTGGCGGTTATTTTTGGGATTTAATAAGGGCCACACACAAGACCGGGATGCAAGGAAGACAAAAGGAACTACTTTTCTATTTTCATATTAATAGGTCCTGCTATGTTATTCGTTCCATTAAAAAATGATGAGGTGATTTGACTAATAAGTCAAGAGCCATCGGCCCATAAGAAACAGGAACACTATTAATTGTACGTAAATTCTCATCCCTGATTAACAGTTTTATTTAAAGTAAACACAAAAGCCAGAAAACACATTATTTAACTGATTGGATGGAGTCAATGATGTTTTCAGATGCAAGGCTTCTGGAAGTGGATGTGTGTGTCTGGGGGGGGGGGGGGGGATTGTTCTTCTTTCAACAGATTGCCCCAAACAAGAGAGATGACATTATGTGCCATGGACTTCCAGTAGGGGTGATGTTTCTCCTCAATTTTCTAACAGGAACCAAACACAGTGACCTGGCTTGGCCTTCAGACAGCCTCGGAGGATGGTAAAGGTCCCTTTGCTGTTTGCCTCCCTGCCTCCATCGTATGGGTTTGCAGCAAACTATCGCTCACTTCTCAGATTCATGCTCAGTTCACCGGCGGGGCAGTGGGTCATGCCATGTACTTGATTTTCACACTGTTCCTCGGCTGAACAACACGTCAAGTTAATCAGGGTTAACAATGGAGGGCAGGCGCATTGGGAAGGCGGGGGGCACAGATGGGGCGACAATCCAGGCACCTTCAAGAGGCACTGGGGGTGTCGTGCAGAGAGGCGGCCTCGACAGGACAGGGTGTGATCAGCAGCTCCCACTGAATACTGGAATACTGGAATACTGGAATGAAGTAACATGGCCGGCCTGTCTGTCGGTGTCTTCAAAGTCTGCCACGTGCAAGGCAACATCGTCTTGTTTCTGGACAAGGAGGTCGGCCATCTTGGACAAATGGCTGGATGGGGAATGAGGCAGCTGAGAAAGGCAGGAGCGAGGAATCTTGCAGATACCATTAGCTTTACTGGATTTTCACGTGGCTGTTTACTTCGAAATGTGTCCTATTTTTTTGATGATGGTGGCGCCTTCAGTTGGAGAGCATTATGGGTAAGCACCATTTTGGGCACATCCCTATGTTACGTTTGTCACAAAATGTGTTACCTTGTCATGGCAGATTATCAATGGGACACGTCGCGTGTCACAGAGGAAACATGACACCGTCGCTTAAAAAGAACTGACAATCGAGCAGAGACAGGAACACAGACACTGACGAAAAATATATAAATTCCACTGCGCCCGTCACTTAATCTTTTGATTAAGCTACTGCTTAACATGTCTACCATCTTACACGTCATTCCTAGCATAAGGTAACTGGCAATTCTGTCTATTCACTTAACGGGATTACGGAGTGGTATTAAAATGGGCTTTTACAAGCGATTCCAAGGTTACTTCCAAAACACTGTTCCAAAACTATTACTTCAAAAGGCTATAACATTTCAGCAGCTCATAAAAGCGAGCTGCTAGTAATTTTGCTAGGTATTATTGAAAGATTTGTTTTTAAAGTTGTATTTTGTGCAGCGGAAGGCATATGAAAAATGAATGCATTGGCCAACAGGGTTTAGAATTTGTAGCTTCCCAATTCCATAGCTACTTGAGAGCTGCTTCTTGAAAATGGCCATAATACTGGAACAGCAGCAAGGAGAAAATGATTTAAATTATTGTGTTTGCTTCACATTTGGTGCTTATGCCCAACGTTACCATCCATCACATGGCGCATGTACCAGTAGCTGAGTTCATCAAAAGTTCAGTTATATATACTCACACTATAGCCACCACTGTCATGAGCATATGACCCCCCCCCCTTAAGCAAATCTTCCTGCCCTTCCCTGTCAGGTGACACCCTGCCTTCATCGCAAATACCCACCCGTCGCTCATGGCCAATGAAACACAACACAAAGATCAGCTGGCAGCCCCCGTCCCAGCCATGAGCCTGGAGCAAAGTTCAAAGCAGGGGCACGGAAAAATGAGCCATCTTACGCACGTGTCTCTCGTAGTAGATGAGCGAAGATCACGTTCCGGTCTTTGTGAAAATTCTATGGATACGTGACTTATGCTGCTGGATCATTACAGCCAATCTATCCAAAATCTATAATGTTGTTCTTAAAAAAAAATGATCTACTTGGATGCTTGTGAAAGTCAAAATATTATTACCTTAATTTTATAAGATAAATGATTTGTCTGTATGTCTAGTGAAAAAAAGTACATGATATTTTTCAGTTTCTGACAGAATCCGCTAATGGATAAGGCAAATTGTAGCCCAATATTGTTAAGGCTGACAGTCTTCACTGGCGTGATTTTGGTATGATGATAAGGAGTAATTACATAACTGATGAATTCATTGAATTATGTGACGTCCAGAATAAAGTTACTTTCAGCTTAAAACAGCATAATTTTCATGCTGAAATGACCTTCCTTGCAAGACTTTTTCACTGACAGATCTTCTCTCAGTTTTGTTTATTTCATTACTTCATACAAAAAAGTTAAACTCCTTTGTCACAATTATAGCTGTTTAAAAAAAATTTCCCCCTGTAACTATGTCCCACATACATTTTAACGTAGAGATAACCGTTCAATTTTCGTTCAATTCATTCCATGATAAAAATCTAATTTACGTTATTTTTTCTATTTTGCATATTAATTCATATTTGCATATAAATTGCATATAAAAAAGCTTAACATATTTCCATGACCTACCCTAACAGTGATTAGGACAAGCGTTTTTATCATGAAAGAGTTTTTGACTTTTCAGCCATCTCAGACTTCCATTTCTGCAGCTACTAATCGGCATGCGGCTCCTCACTAGCACGTAATTAGAGTAGCGAAGCCTTGTCGACAATCTCCGATAAATGAGTCTGAAATGCGAAGAAATAATAAAGACTGGTGATAACTGCCATTTTATTTTGGGATATAAAAAATTACAAGACTGATTTACTCTATTCTCACCTCTAGCAAAACCAAAGTGAGGTATTGAACAAAATATATTCTATTATTTCCCTTGTTGTAATATATAAATTTATAAATTATATGCTACTTCTATGACACACACACACACACAATTTTCACAGATGTATTTTATAGAAAAAACAATATATCATATTACATATACAATGTTTATCTAGACATTACATATTTATGTCTATATTATACACATGCATTAAAAATATTAATTTTGTGTAATGTTATATAATATATATATAATAAGTATATGAGTAAATAACTAGTACATATTTAAGCACTTGTGCATAAAATAAGAAAAACATTACATTACACCTGAATCCTCTTTATTAAAGAATATTGTTTTTGTTTGTTTTTTCATATGCATGAAATACAGTGAAAATACACATGTATATAATAACAATATCAACAATTACATGGATATGATATTTTCATAACAGTATATTAATCTGAACAACCAAATCCTGTATATAAAGCTTTATTGAAGAGCTTTATTCCATGCATCCCAATGTCTTTCATGAGACATTAGTCAAACCCTTAAATATAGCTTCGAAAGCAGGTCTTGCTTACAGATAAAATAATACTATTCAGAAATGTCAAGTGTGGAAAAATATTAATTTGATCTATTTGCTAGTAGTAAAAAAAATACAATGACAGTATGTATAAATCTTTTATTTGTAATTCTACTAATATTTTACTGTTTTTGTTAAATAATTAACATTAGTTAACTGAAATATCTTTTAATTACATTAAGATACCACTAGCATATTAAATGCCCCTATATATTATTGAATGAGTACTAAATATATGAGTACTAATCAGAGTATTGTGTTGTTTGCATGACATTAGCTGATTTGTAAGAAGCACAGTCTTGTGGTAAACACAGTGCAACCATAAAGTTTCCATTTTTAATCCTAGAAGTGTCACAAAATTTACAACTGGATGCAGCTGGATTTACATGATAAATAAAACTGTAAGTGCCTCAGTAAAAAAAAAAACAAAGGTAAAATAAAAAACAAAGCTAAGCAACTTAATATAATATTCTTCGAAAAAGAGGAAACGTCAGTGCATAGTGAAACAGATGGGATGTGTCTATATACCTGAAGTCTACTGCCATCTAGTGCTGAAACCAGAAATAGCAAGCTGGCAAAACGCTATTGGTCCGTGGTTGGTTGTCGTGTTATTCGTGTTCATCTAGCTTTTAAAATCACTATCAATGTATTTATCATTAAATATATTTATTTATACATTTATTATGCCGATTTGGTTGTCATAGGGTTTTGCTCACCTGGGAATGTGAGATGTTCTGCAGACTTTGTGTTATAAACCACGTTGCACTCGACTACACTCACGGTGTCTGGGCTCGTAAGTAGGGCTAGTCAGTCAAATCTGGGAGGGCCTACCCAGGACAGGGGGGTGTAGGGAATCAGTGCAGACTGCATGCTGATCCAAAGCAAGTCCCACTGCTTTGCCGGTCCTGCTTGCATCCACAGGGTCCCCCCCCCACCAAGCACATGTGCAGCCCACTTTAGAGGAGACAAAGGCAGAGCCGTGCCCTTAAATGGGGGGTTACTTTTCATCCCTGCAGCGAGAGAGCGACGGGGTCACTCATTACTATTTGCTGGAGTTACTTGTTCATTAACAGTGTGTACTGAAGCAGAACACCATAAGACAATATAAACAATTTATCGGGACACAAAACAAAACACTCATTAGCTAACAACAGAGCGCCATTATCATTTAAAAGTTTAACAAGTTTCTTTTGTTTTGTTTAAATGTATCTGTATAAGCTGATAAACAGTGATTCTCATTCTGCCAATGTAGCCACTCCTTCTTTCCACGGCGACTGGATGGGTGCCCCCACCTGCTCGTTCTGATGACCTCAGAGCTGCGGGGGGGCCGTGCAGCACACGGCTCCACCAGACGATCGTAGGAGAGTGCGGTCACAACCTGAGTGTGACAAATTCGGCCCATGTCAATTCAATTATACTCCACGGAGTGCCCCTCCCAGACACGGCTAGCCCAGGGCATCTGACAAAGGCTCCGTGACCGTTCTGATTTAAACCAAATTAAGAACAGACAGAAAACTAAAGACAGACAGTGTCACTAGCATATGTCACTGATCTCTGACATCTGTTACAAAGTGAGGGAAGGATAATTTGTAAAGTGGGTTCGTCTTTGACCCTGACATGTTTTTCATAATCTAAAATAAGGCGTCATCTACAAAGTTTAAAAACGCTGCCTTCGAGAAGGACCATTGTGCTGTAGCCGGGAGTGAAGGTAGTTATCCTGAACAGCTCCAGTAATAAATGCAGGCGTACAAACAAGTGAAAACGACTTTGGACAAAACTGTCAGCCATACAAGCAGCTGCAGCATAATTAAAGGACACATGATTACAGTGGAATCAGCAACCATCCATCCATCCACCAATTTTCCATACCCACTTGTCCTATGTGAGGCTGAGGGAGCCTGGAGCCTATTCAGCTCAATTTTCAATAAAATTTTATATCTATAGCGCATTGTCACCACATTACTTTGTCTCAAAGCACTATACATTATCCAAACCCAAGTCAGAGGCAACAGTTGCAAGGAAGAACTCCCATTTTCCAGAAACCACGGGTGCGCGGGCGGGAAATAACCCAGGAAGGGGTGCCGACCCAATGCAGGGCTGAATTCTCCAGCAAAACAAGTATAAGGGAGCAGGGTATTCTGGGACACACACACACACACACACACACACAATGAGCACACTCACCGAGACCATGACCAGCAAGGCCATCATCAGCCCCAGCATCAAATGCAGGTTCTCCGTCAGGCCCCCGGCCCACAGGGGGCCCAAAATGGTGGCCAGTCCCCCCACTGAGCGCCGCACGCCCTGGCTGAACCCTGGTGACACACGCGCACACACACGCGCACACACACACACACACACACACAGTCAGGCTGGGATTTGGTTACATTCATTAACAATGACACCTCCCTCTTGCTTCCTTCAGCAAACTGCTGTCACAGACTTACTTAGCACTAATGTGGAAAATAACCCTCACAGAGCAAAGACTGTTTATTTAATGCCAGCCTTTCTGCCCTATTTACAGACTGATATGTTACCGCTGAGTAATAAGTAAAAGGTTAACGCAGAGTAAGTCTCATTAGCTGCGTATCTGGAATGCTTTCTTGTGCTGCCTCCCAGTTCCTAAACTGAGCAGAAGGCATTATATATAAGACATTTGTTAATAGCTGAACAAATCTTAGGAATTTTATGTCTCACAGTAGTGGTCTATAGCTACATTAACGACCTGGAAGGAAGTACTGCCATTGTTAAATAATATGTATAGTAATAATATGAAAATACTGTTCTCATTTTTAAATTTCATTTTATTAGTCTGTTTTCAATTTCCAGCGTAATTTTTCAGCCCTGCGTGACGCTCCGCGGTGATTGTGCCAGCCAGCAGAGGGCAGCGCTGCTCACCTTGCGTCTTCGCCGAGGTAACTTTAGAAAAAAGTGACACCTGGGAGACAGTAAGAAAGGGGAGGCCCAGAAGCTGCAGGAAGACCCCCATGATGAACTTCGCCAACTGCCAGGGGTACCCACCTGCGGGAGGGCGGGGGGCGGGGGCAAAGAAAGACAGCGGCAGGAGGTGTACAGCATTAAAGGGACCGCTTTTGTTAGTTAGTTTATCCAAAGTACTCAGCCCTTCCAGGGTCTGGAAGCCATTAGGGTACAAGGCCGTATCCGTAACTAGCATGTGTTACCTAGCATAGCAGAAAAATATAAACATTTATTCAACCAAGGGTTGTGAATAAAGTAATAGTGTTCCAGACTTAGACTTAAACCTGCAATGGATAAAATTTTACTTGAATTATTTAAAAAATAAAAGGTCAAATCTGACATGCTTCACATGGGTACTGGCAGGCATATAAGTCTTCTTGTATTGCAGTGTTTCCCAATCCGTGGGCCGTCTGGGGACCGGATTGGGAAACACTGCTCTATCGGGCTGACCTCGGGGATCAGTGAGGAAGACGAGGCACCAGGCGCAGGAGATGCTGCAGACGGCCAATCCCAGGGCGAGCACCAGGCGGTCAGCCAGGCAGCGGCTGAGACCGCGCACCAGCAGGAAGCCAGCGATGACCTCCACGCCGCACAGGAAGTACATCATGCTGTTCTGCAGCTCGCCAAAGCCAAAGTACTTCTGTGTCAGGGGGGTCACCATGGTCTGTAAGACAACCACATGGGCTCAACAAAGCCCGACTAGAGCTTAAGCTCCAGTGTCAGCTGCAAACTGAGCCTGATTTCTCAGTATAGTGCCTGTGTATATTAAGCAAGTTAATTCAGTACACTTTGTGTCCATTTTATCGTTTATGTAATTATATTATTTACTATTTATATATATATATATATATATATATATATATATATATACTGTATAACAGTGCTCAGAGAAAGTCTTGGGACACTTGTAGAGTTCTGTAAAAATGTTGCTAATTTATTGGTTTCATAAAACAATGCAATGATTAACATATCTGCACGTACCTACTGAATAGACATTTGTTTTTTTAAGTGTCATTTTTGTTTGACTGACTCATTCAGTTTTGTTCTTGCCATTTTGCTATTACTGTAATTGAAATTGTTGTTACTGGCTCCCAAAGGGATACTAAACGTCAATGTTTGATGTTTGTTGTTGTTGTTGCAAAGGTGTTACTAATTAAAAAGCACCCAATAAGAATATATATGATTTTTTTTTTACTCTCAGCTCTTTTAGAACTATAATTTGAGTTTCTATTTATTACTACTTGAATGTTTTACTTAAAAATTACTGGTTGTTTTTAATATGATGTATTGCTTAGTTTTAAAAAACAATAGAGTAACGATTTTTGTTATTAAACCCATAAAATTGCAATATTGTTACTGAATTAAGTCTCCTGAGACTTTCTGTGAGCGTTATATACGCAAATTTAAAATTTACATATCAACATATGATCTCTACTGACTATTTCATAAACATTGACTTATGACCAAAGTCAGGTCTCTTAGACTTAAACAGAAAACTCTATCAGTTGCCTGCATATTGCACATATAGGTGGACAGTCAAAAAACTTCAAAGCCCATTTTCTCAGTTGCAGTGTCAATGTAGTTACTATATTTAACTTTTGTAGGGCAGGATTCTTTGCATCATTTTAAACTCCCCAACGATGTAGTTATGTGGCATAAACGTCGTTTGAATCACGATGACCAGTGTGATAATCTGTGTTTTTGTCCCACTGGTGTAGCGTAAACAGGGTGAAAGGGCTGCTTGTATGGGTGTCGGCACGAGCGACAGGAACGAGCTTCAGGCTCCCACCTCCAGCGCCGTCTGATTAAACAGCGTGACGAACTGGGCAGCCAGCAGCAGCAACACCTCCTCCCTCAGGAATTCTACGGGGACGGAGGAAGGGACCAAAGCATCATTATCGTGACAATCAATCCATCTTCCATAAATGCTTCTTCTGAAATGCGGACAGGGCAGACCTGCTACAGGCAATTTTTTTTTTAACAAAAACACGTTCGGGATGGTGAGAGGAAACTGGAGCACCAGGGGGGAGCCCAAAAGAACAAGGGGGGTGTGCAACCTCACACACAGAGCCAGGGGTAGGAATTTACCCCCATCCCTGCAGACAGGGAGTCACTATGCCTGCAGACAGGGAGTCACTATGCATTCAGACAGGGAGTCACTATGCATTCAGACAGGGAGTCACTATGCATTCAGACAGGGAGTCACTATGCATTCAGACAGGGAGTCACTATGCATCCTTAGTGTGTTTATTTTTAGCAGGCAAACTGTTGATAGACAGTCGACCCTACTGCATGGCAACCTTCCCCAGCGAGGTTTCGACATTTTGCGAGGTCGCCATAAGAAATTCAATGGGCATTTTTTGGGAGTTTTACGAAAGCCGCAGACGACGCGCAAAAAGTTCAGTAACTCGTTAATGCGTTAAATATATGTACAGTGCTGGTTTGGAGGATGTCAAGTGTATTTATGACAGCCTCTTATGCGATATCTCACAGGGATCTGCAGGGACCCTGTGCCCCTAACCCCCACAATGTGGAAGGGTCAATTGTAGTTTATTTTTAATCAGTTTAAGGGTTTTGGCCACATGATTCTTCTCTCATACCAATGACAGCTGTCAAATTGATGCTAAAATTCATGCAAGATATCAACATGCAAGAGAGACCATTTTCAAAACCCACACACACTGTCACTCCTATAGCCAGATCTATGGGGCACCTTTCCTGGCACTGAAATCCAGGAAGGGGTTAGGGAGCTCATCCTTTAGAAGGAGAGAGTGGGCAGGTGATGAAGGAGGTGATGGAGGAGGTGATGGGCCACCGGCAACACCCTGAACTTCCAGCTGTTCGGTACTGATGAAGGTCCTGAACTCAGAGTCTTCTGCTTCTTCATTGGTCACCAGGGGTTGTGCCTCCTCTTCCACCTCCACCTCCTCCATGTTCATCCCCTGGCCCCCATGGTCGAGAGGTGGTAGGTCCCAGTACATGAACAGAACCACCAACTCCAGCAGGCCCCACACGATGCTCATGAAGAGCTAGCAGGAGGAGAATGAAGTCAGACAAGCAACAAGGTTGTGTGAAGAAGGTGAACTATGCACAGAGTACACCATACCTCCAACCCTGCATCAGGGGTGATTAGTAGTGATGCAGGAGTGCATAGGGAAATGCCCGTGAAGACAGTAGGTGGCGTAGCAGTTATTGAGTTGGACTTATGACCAGAATGAGGCAAGTTTAAGTCTCAAGAGATCCAGCACACTTGTTCCCTTCGACAAAGTGCTTGTTCATGGGAGTTTTATTTACATAAAATGTTCTGAGGACAGAAGGGAAAATGATTGGGTTGGAGAGACAGCCAATCAGACTGTAGAAGAGGTGGGTCTAAGCAACTAGAGAAGGTGGGACCAAGACATCTGACTCTATAATCTGATTGGTTATCTCTCTGAACCAATCATTTTCCCTTCTGCCCTAAGAATGTATTTGTGTAAGCAACTCCCCTGAGTGTGGTACCTGTATAAATTATCTTGTGCAGACTTACTAATGTTTGGTAATTTATCAGTTTGTATTATATCTTACCCCAGGGGATGTGTACTTGTTCACGATGAAGGGACCCAGCTGGAAATCGCAGAGCCTCAAAAAGATATTGAACGCTGGACCTACAGAGATGAGGAAACAGGCGTGAAGAGCACTGATCAACGTGGGAAAACGGGAGTGAGAAGACAGACCTAAAAGCAAAGCGATTCCCATCTGGACACAGAGCAGGGGAAACTGACCAATCAGGAGTCCGGCTTGGCGGCAGGCCATGACGGTTGCGAAGACTGTGGCGCGATTCTCTAACGACGTGATCCGTGTGAGGAGCCCGAATATGGAGGAACCAGCCCCGGCTCCGATCCCTGTGCGGTGAGATTAAGCAGAGATCCCCATATCTGGGCCCCGAAGCTAATGCTAATGGCAGCATATGGCTGTTATGGGCAATTCTAGAAATGCGTACCTGCTACGATCCGGCTCGATAGGAGCAGCCACTTGGAATAGCCCATGAAATACATGAAGTTACCTGGGAAGGAGAAAGGAGCAGAGTCTGAGCTTATACGATTATAAGAGTTACCATACAGTTTATTTATATAGGCCAAATAGAAGAAGTCTATGGTTTACCATCATGGTTCCACCTAAGAAAGACGAGCGACCAGCTGAGGACCATAGCAATCTCATGCCCGCGTTTGTATTGTCATTTTTAAATGAAACACTATTAAGTCCCCGACTCAGAGCAGTCCCAACTAAATTGTGCAGCCATGATAAGGCACATTGTTTCAATATAAACAAAATATTAATTCTGGTTTATCGTGCATTTTTTTTTCTGTGTGAAGGAAGAAAATTTGCAGTGGGGTTGAGATCAAATTATAGCTTTTCAGAAACTCTGAATAGTTTCACACAAAGACCATTGAATACTCTGCATTCTCATTATCCTATTGATCCATTTTGAATTAGTGCCTATCCATCTTGTTCGTAGAGATTTGGGGTCTATTGGGGACTTTGGGACATAAAATGGCGATTTACTCTGGTTGGAACACGAGGTTATGGTAGGACAAACACAAAGTTACATATTTAACTTGGAAAGGATGTCATTGGATTGTGTGGAAACAAAAAAAAACTGATTTTCCAAAGAAAACCCACATAAACTTGGGGAGCCAGGGGAGGATTTAAAAGCCACAACACTAGAGTAACAGCATGCTATACTCTAAAACATTGCACCAATGTTACGATAAAATTAGGGGCCAGTGACTATAGCTTTGATGAAAGATTTGCTCTTTAAGATAGATGGGAACTTACCGACGATCTCGAAGACGTTGGCCAGGAGGATGATATTCTTGGTGGTACGGGTCCGATCAGACCAGTGGCCAAACAGAGGTCCGAACAGCAGCCCGCTGAAACTGAACGCGGACAGGCCGAGACCCAGGAAGTACGGCGGTGCCTCAAGGATCTGCAGGTACCTCCATATGGTGGGTAGGATCACAGCTGCAAGTCAGAAGAATTATGAGATATTATTATTCCAGCCTCAGTTTAGCAAGAGCTCTTGTGAGCTACAGGGGTGCCAACGTTTGTTAGCTGGATGGAGTGAGATTTTCGATTTGAGACGAGTCTGCACACACATGCACACGCATTTACGTGTATGTGACAGTTTTATTACTTTGTTAATAGTCTGTAGGATTTGCAAACTACCCCAGTGCTTCTGATGTAGCTAATTTTAGGTTTATAATAGAATAATATAGATTTGCTGTAAGATTTCTTGCCTGAGCGTGAGAGTCTGAAAGTGTGAGTGTTCCGCCGGATGCGTTGGAGTTGGCAGCCCAGGATCTACGCTAACCCACTGTTACAATGAGACTGCCCACTGATGTCAACCTGAGTGTTATTGGGTAATTGAAATTTTGTGACTGAGCATTACACTGTAGGTCCTTGGAAAGAACGAAAAATCTATCAAACCCAGTAACGAGTAACATCACAAGCTGAAGATTCGGATCTTAAACTTGAAAGTACAGTGAATTCCCCTAGATGTGCTGACAATTGTCTGCCCAGTGCAGCTTAGCGCAAAGCTAATTACGTGGAGGTGACAGTGCAGAGTGACAGGGGGCCCACTGCACTTCTGGCAGGTTTTTAGGGCAGCGAGCAGGCTTTGATCAGCAGCTGTGCAAACGTGTCACTTATGATCTGTCCCAGGTGATAAACTTATCTGAGACCGATTTAAGGCAACTTAAACTTAAAATATCAAGGAAGATAAAATATAATGAGCGAGAATCTTTCAGTGAGGCTGTTAAATATCAGTTAAGTAAAAATAACTAGCTAGAACGGACAGAGGAGAAGCCCAAACGGTGTTATGGGTGAAGCTCTGCTGATTTCACACAAAGAGAAAACGGGAATGGAAGCAGAAGTGTTTTACAACCTTTACTTCAGCAGTTTCCTGCATCATTAGATGCGACTAAAATTTAATAAAATTTTCTATGCCAAGTGCCACCCCACTAATTTCGCGTTTATAAGCTACATAAAACCTGCTTCAACATTTTCACTACCTTGAACTTGACAATAACCATATGCTATTTTCCCTTGTGGATTTACATATATGTTTTAGGGCTCTCAATGACAAACGAAGTGACATTTTTTTAATTAAAGGTATATAAATAACATATTATTCTATGTATGAGAATTATACTCCTCGTCAAATTCTTTGAAATATGGGATAGCTTAGAAAAAAGATATTAAGTGCGATGTTAAAACGTACCGTACTCGATACCGCTCATAAGAAAAATTAATCCAACTGTCACGAAGGTGAGCTGTCGTTTTTGTCGGTACTCCATACTCAAGAAATCATCTCCAGCCCTAATCGCCTGGAAAGCCTTTTGTATGAATTAAATGCAGCGTACAGGAATTATGGAAAAGCAACGCGACCCTATACCGCATGCAGTAAGGGACGCGACCCTATGCCGCATGCAGTAAGGGACGCGATCCTACCGCACGTCCTGCAACTGAATCACTTAGTTAATGATGCAGATGCTGCGTCCTGTTACGATCTGCAGGTGTGCATGAGCTTTCTCCATCGGGGGGGGGTGGTTGCGAGAGAAATTTAGCAGTACTTGCCACAAGACTAAGAAAAAAAATTATGCTTAAGGTAACATAACCATCCTCGTGCGGACTGACGGCGATATCAAGGGATATAGATTCATTAGATTGGTTTGTTGTTCAACTTAGAACTGAAGTTATGCATTTAAGAGCAAGGAATGAAAAGAGTCTATTGAATAAGAGCCAACATAACGTATAATCGAAAGTTTTTTCTTTTATAGATTCACATCTCACAGAACAACTTTTAACATTTTTTCCGTTGCTAGTATTTTGTCCTACCGAATAGCAGCACCTGATAGAGCTATTCTGAGTTCAATCTATAATTCACCATCGGTATGGGTAACCATCTCATATTTCATTCTCACCTCCAGTCGTAGTCTCATTTCTGAGTCACGGTATCGGGTAATCAATGCTGCACTCCAGTTTCACTGTTTCACTGTCGGTACAGCCATAGTCTTTAAGTCCCTCACCCACTACACAGAAATAAGTGACTCAGATAAAGTTAAACTAAGATGATCTCCAATCAGCCATGGTCGGCCATGTCTCAAAGATACTGGAATTCCCAGACTATTTAGAATATCAGGCTAATTTTATGCACAAATTCACCTTTTCACTTCTTACCGAGTTCCTTTTATTGACTTCAAGTTTATAAACTCACACGTTTGTGCAGCATTTTTTACTTAAGACCATAGATGACGTCGGAGCAAATCGTCAGCATAACTTGCCCATAAACTCGCCACTGATTTCTTGTTACACGTAAAACAAGAACAGTTACAGAAAAGTGATATGACATTATCAGAAGCATAATTAAGAGTGATCCACCTTTGTGTGATATTCATACACAACTCAGAGGCCGGCATGAGGCTCAGGGAGCTAAGCCTCCTGGCCCGTGACCAGAAGGTCATTGGTTCAAGCCCAGCCTTGGCATGTCTCTGGGCCCTTGAGCAAGGCCGTGAACCCCAGCTCCATGCCGACCACTACATGTGGCTGCCGTTCACTGCTAAGCGTGTTCTCACCTACATATGTGTGTCATGGAGAGCAAGGTGGGGTAGACAAGAAAATTTCCCCACGGGGATTAATAAAATATCATCATACAATAAACAGACCCCTACTTATATATATATATAAAACATATTTATTTACATGGTTTAACAAACAGCCCTGAGCACCAGCAGCATTTCTTGCACGTCGGTGTGAAACACTTGAATGTTCTCAGCAATTTTCGCTTCTCAGTGATGTAGCTGCCTAATCGCTGGTGCTCTCAGAAGGCCAGCTTCTTCATAAGAAGATACACCCGGGAGTCGACTTCGAAGCCGTGCAGGTTGTTGGCGTCTCCCTGCAGCCTCATCAGCAGGCCTCCGTAGGATACGTACGCCGATCTGGGGGGGGGGGGAACAGAGGCACGGGGGAAGACATGAACTACGGACCAACAGCCTGAAAAAGAAAAGGGGTGGCAGGGTACTTACAGACGCGTCGCCGCCTCCGTGGACGTCTCGTCTCCCTCGATTTTGTACACTTTGCCGTACATCACGTAATCGAACTGGTCCGCCCTACCCAAAACACAGATACAAAGCGTGCTACCAAATGCAGAGGAAGACGGGCAGTCTTAAGCGGGTCGAGAAAGAAGAACCTACCGCGAGGGGCGGTCATCCTGGGGGTTATACTCCCCATCGTCCGGAGTGCCATCTTCATAGAGAGTACTCGCTATGACCAACCGGAACTTGTCTCCTGCAAGGTAAAGGCAGTTTGGTCATACGAGTAATGCTTTACATTAACTGTACCCTCATAATGCCTTTATAATGCATTCATAGAACACTCATAAGAAGCATGTAAATATACCACAACATCCTAACACATCTTAACAGTTTTAATATACATTAGTAACATTAAACAACAATAACAAACTTAATAATCGCATAATGTTCATTGTTAATGAATATTGAAGTTGTTGAGGTATGTTAGGATAAGGTATACTTACATGCTGCCTATGAATGTCATATGAATGCATTATAAATGCATGATGAAGGTACACTGAATGTTGTATGAATGGGTGCAGTTAATGTAAAGCATTACCGAGTAATGACATGCTTTTACAGAAAGGAAGAAATATCATCTCTCAATTTAGGCCTCACATCTTGTATCATTTATTCACTACATGGATGAAAGTATTGGGACACACTTCTTAATCATTGAACTCAGGTGTTTCATTCAAACTCATTGCCACAGGTGTATAAAATCAAGCCCCCAGGCACGTGGTTATTTTTACAAACATTTGTGAAAGAATGGGTCGTTCTGAAGAGCTCGAAGAATTCACGCGTGGTACTGTCAAAGGATGCCAACTTTACAATGTCAGTTCATGAAATTTCTTCCCTGCTAGATATTCCACATCAACTGTAAGTGCTATTATTAAAAGGTGGAGCTTTTACGAACAAGAACATGTAACAGAGCGGGGTCACCAAGTGCTGGGGCACATATTGTGTAAAAGTCGTCAGCACTCTGTTGAATCAAAAACTGCAGAGTTCCAAACTTCCTCTGGCATTAACTCCAGCACAAAACAGAGCACCAGGAGCTTCATGGAATGGGCTTCCATGGCTGAGCAGCTACATGCAAGTCTCATATAACCAAGGGCGATGCCAAGCGTCAGATGGAGTGGTGTAAAGCACACCGCCAATGGAGCAGTGGAAACGTTCTGTGGAGTGATGAAGCACACTTCTCTGTCTGTCAGTCTGATGGATGAATCTGGCTTTGGCAGATATCAGGAAAACGTTACCTGCCTCACTGCATTGGGCCAACTGTAAAGTTTGGTGGAGGAGGGATAATGGTATGGGGTTGTTATTCAGGGGTGGGGCTAGGCTCCTTAGTTCCAGTGAAGGGAACTCTTAATGCTTCAGCATACCAAGATATTTCAGACAATCCTATGCTTCCAACTTTGTGGGAACAGTTTGGGGAAGGCCCTTTTCTGTTCCAGCATGACTGAACCCCAGTGCACAAAGTAAGGCCCATAAAGACAAGGTTCGTTGAGTTTGGTGTGGAAGAACTTGACTGGCCCACACAGAGCCCTGACCTCAACCCCAGCGAACACCTTTGGGATGAACTAGAACACATATCGTGAGCCAATCCTTCATGTCCAACATCAGTGCCTGACCTCACAAACACTCTTCTGGATGAATGGGCAAAAATTCACACAGACATACTCCAAAGTCTTGTGGAAAGCCTCCCCTGAAGAGTGGCAGCTGTTATAGCTGCAAAGTGGGGACCAACCTCATATTGATGCCTATGGATGTAGAATGGGACGTCATAAAAATTCCTGTAGGTGCAATGGCCAGGTGTCCCAATACTTTTGTCCATATAGTGTATGTGCTACCTCTTATGTGCATTAGGTCTTACCAAGGTCCACAGGATATATCTGAATGTTGACATCAAGAATGAGGTCCATTTTGAAAGACTCACTCTCACAATGTAGACGAGACACTGCAAAGATAAAATCAGTGGTCAATACTCTGATGCTTCCCATGGACATAGTATTTAAAAACGTAGTCTACATAGTTCTCTTTTTTTCTCAATCAAAACATCGCCACGGACACGTTTGGCTGCATATGGACAAGCTGCGGACTGCTGATAAAACACGTCAGTGGGCAGGCGTTTCCAGCACATTTCTGTAATTCAGTTAAACTCTAGAATTCCCTACCTCTGTCAAATTTCTTTCCATCAGGGTCAATGTCCTTCACATCGAATATGTCTTCAAACAAAATCCCTGCCATTTCGTTTCAGTCCTTAACTTGTCACCCAGAACAAGATAGGCGTTCCGTTCGACACTTATTATATTGCCTGAGGGGAAAAACAAATAGAGATGTTTATCGTCCTGTACTTTTTGAAAATACATACTATGCAAATATTATCATGAGCACGTCAGAATGTCGAATCATTCATCAAAGATTACCTCTGCATCAATTTCGATCAATGGTATTAATCAAACGACACATAAAACAAAGAATAGATAGCAAACGAAAATTATGAGATTACTACCAAAGTTTGTGCTATACGAAATTACTTTGTATTAATCCAAATTAAAACACGCATAGAAGAATGTAAATAATTTGCCAAATGAAATGCAATTCAATCATTCCCATCACACAATTTGCACAATACAATGATTAAGTTAACTTACGCTTTCGCTAAATTAGCTGTCCAGTGGCTACCTTCCTTCTTTATGCTAATTTTGCGTTCCTTCAAAATGTTGTATATACTTTAAATGAATTCCAAAATGAGATTATACATGTACAGCAGCACCATTCATTGCTTGCGCGCCGACATGTGTTTAACCCCTGAACTTTGAACCGGAAGAACTTCGGGACCTTCACTTCCGGAAGATGTGGTTTTTCTTATAGCAAATATTTAGATTTGACACTAACTAAAATGACATAAGATTTTTCTTCGAAAATGATACGTAGTTTAATTTTCGTCGTGCTATTTAAATGTGTTTATTTCTTGGTGTTTTTACGAGTACTATTGATAATCGAAAAGTACATTTACGCTGTTTCATGACATTCATCCGCTTGATTTAGTGTTTCGCGGTTATACTGGCAGTCTGCCTGACTAATGCAAATGTATGTTTTTGATCCAACCTTGTTTTTGATTGTTTTTAGGAAGCCTTAATACTGCTTCGTGCTCAACTGTGTATGTAATTAAAGTATTACGGCAATGTCTATGCAATGTTTCCCCAATAGACGGCACTGTTTCTGCTTTTTTCTACATTTCTTTACGCTGTCTTGGCGGGGGAGTTGTACTGGGTAAATAGTGTATGCTTGTGTGTATCTGGGATGGACTGGCATCCTGTCCAGGGTGTACCCCAATATTGTGAGGCTCCAACTGAGCCCACCCTGCTGAGTGGAATATTATTTTTATTATTATTGTCAGTATTATTAATATGAATATGAATAATTATATATTTATTTATATGTGCGCACCCACAGGCTGAACCCAGTGGTTACAGAAAATGCATGGATGGATGGAGATGGGGCATAAAACCTATTTATAACTGCTATTTATTGTCATCATTTATCAATAATTGAAATACCAAAACTATCACAAGCATTTGGAAGAATTAGATAATTTGAGTCATGATTTCATGGAAGCTGTGTTTTGCTTGTAATTTGCCTGTATGTTTATGATGCCATAAAATATGTATAATCATTTATAAAGCACCAAGCCTTCCTTTTTACTTTCTGCCTATTCTGTCTGTGCAGAGAATACAGAAAACGAAAGGGATGTTTTGATTAGAAAGTTATGCATAATTGATATGTTGATGTAGCTGCAATGTACATCTAAGTTGGTGTCACTGGAGCAAATCATTAAAGCGATTGGAGGTTATGGAGAGCAGAAGGACTTCAGTGACCAGTAAGACCATGCAGAGGCATGTGGCTTTTTGCATCCTTTGTGGTAACATCTATTTCAATTATTTTTAATTATTATCTTGATAATATTACTGATGTTGATGTACGGCAAAGTGTACAAAAGTTAATATTTTGAAGGATTTAATTAACAGTTATTGGAATGGTTTGTGGGGAAAGAAATCAAACTCATTGGGTTAAATTTTCAGTTTCACTCATTACGTTATCTGGAAGGGCAATGAGAAGTGTTATGAAAACAGACTTCTTAAGATGTTGTGCACAGGAGGGAGTCCCAGGGATCTAGGGAGATCCTTTGGGAGTTTACCTTCCTTTCCTGTGGCAGCATCGTTGCCCAGGCGATGGCAGCACGCCACTCCCTATAGTGCCCTTGGCCTCTGGCTCTGGGTCACACCAGAACACCCTACCTGTAAAGGGAGTGCTGGGAAGACTGGAACTGTCTGTCGTCTCTATTAGAAGGAGTAGGGCTAAGCTGGGCGAGCGGCACGGAATGGTGCAGGACTCTGTGTCTCACCGTGGATCTTTCAGCGTTCCCGTTTATATCAACCTCCTGAACGCTCGCCGAAACAAGGCTAGGTAAGATGGAGCCTCTAACTTTACTCTGTATGATCTCACTACTTTTATCTGAAGTTAGCTACTTTCTCCTTCCTGGTGTACGCTTTGTGTATGTCTGCAGCTAGATATTGTTACTTTTCAAGGTTATCTAGAGTAGCCAAACCACGCAATTTAACTGGGGATCAGGGGTATAAGCCTGCATCCATCCATATCTAACCTTCTTTATCTGTGCCACATCTTTCTGCGGATCTGGAATTTGTGGCTGAAATTGAACCTTTTCACCCTTTATGCCCATCGGGGACAGTGACTCTAAATGCGATTGTTTTTAATGGTTAGTTCTTGCACTAAAAAATAATTGCAAGGAAACTTGCATAGCCGAAGGATTTACAATTTCCCATTTTTGAAGCTGGACATCTTCAGAATTAATTCACTTAAAGTTCATTTCTTGAGTCAAACAGCAGTTGCCTCTTCACCAATCTTCTGGTTGTATGTACAGTAGACTCTCTTAACCTATACACTACCTGCACAGACAGAGCATCTACTCGATGGCAGAGACCAATGTCCCGAACAGGCGACGGGAGTGGACATCACAGACACCCACGTCGAGCGTGGGCGAGGACAGGGCCGTCATCCTGGGCTTCACCATGATTGGCTTCTCCGTGCTCATGTACTTCTTATTCGGATTCACCATCGTGAGACCCCACCTGAACAGGTCGAGCTCCGATCAGCTGAAATACGCCACAGGAATATGTCTGTTTAAAATGAACTTTGTAAGGCCAGCCTGCGTGCATCTGTGCATTTTCATCTAAGTGCGAGAAGGAAGATGGACTCTCAGAATCACAAAGGCGCTCTCAGTAGAGCTTGCTTTAATGTTCCATCGTAGGGTATACCCAGAACCAAAAGCCCATATATGGCAAGTCACAATTAGCTTCCGAAAGGCCTTTTGTTTTCCTCATTGGAAAAATTGCTGAATTAGAAGAGCAGCTTACTTTGAGGGAACCATTGTTCAAATTCTTATGAATCCTCCCATTCTGAAGTTCTAATTTATTTCTGCAGACAGGGGTTGTAGCTAATAACAAAATACAAATCCCTAACAAAATGTAATGTTTAGGCGCGGGGGGTGGTGGGGGCTTGTACTGTCCGCGTATTATTTTTGTGTTCAGGGGTCCCTATAAAGTTCCTGGCCCCCTGAATCTGCCAGAGTACCCAAGCCTTGTCAGCGGGACACAGATTTGCACAACAACAACAGAAAATGGAGAATGATGAGACGAAACTGCTTATGAGAACAATCTCTCGCCCTGTGATGGTTCAGCCCCTGGACCAAGCAGTCCACATGCAAGCTGATGCAGGTGGATCTCCTGAGTGATCAGGTGGACTGCAGAGACCAGTGCAGTTACCCATGCCTGAAGGTGCTGGTGAACTTCTCTCACTCTGGACGTGAGGTTGTGCTACGCTACAAGGAAGCAGCTTTTGACCTTGCCCACAAGGTGCGCTACGGCTTACATCTTCATATACTGTGTTTTGATGTGCGACATCCATCCATGACCATTTATCCAGGACAGAACACGAGTCAGGAACCCTGGATGAAATGGCAGTGCATCACAGGGTAGATACTCACAGATTAAGGGTAATTTAGAGATACCAATCATAAATCACATATGCAAGCATGGGAATGGAATGCAAACTACATCCACGTTTTATTTGATGTACTTACTTGTTCTATACTAGTGATGCCTCCTGTTTTCTGTTTAGTGTTTCTTTGTACCCAAATGCCAGAGAAATAAAAAAGAAGTATTAGAGGAGACTCAGAGAATTCAGAGCTGGCTGTTGAAGCAAGAGGACGGACTTTTCAGCTGCTACTCTCGCGTGGAGGACCACCCGAAGGAGGCCGTCTTGAGCAGGAGGTACGACGGCTGGCTGGTGCTGCAGTGCATGTGCTGGTCCACGCTGATGCTGCTGGGTGGGGTTAGCATCGTGTGCCTGGTGAAGCTGACTCAGAGGCTGGCACACATGTGTCTAAGGCTGGAGGCCATGGAGGGTCCAGGCAGGTACCGGCCGGCGCCAACAGAGAGCGAGGAACGACGGCGAATGCCTGCGGCTAGCGTGCTGGGTAATGACATGGACTAGTGACCCTGAAAGTTCTAGGTTCCAGGAGAGGCTTTGCTGTGAGTTGCTTTGAGCAAAGGCCCTGAAAGTGACTGTAGCCATTTAGACCAACACTGTAAATTTTCTTGGAAAATCCATCAAACTGTTTATACTATAAGTGGCTGTGGCAGGCTGCTGGGGTCTAATCTATTTATGGCACTCAATTTTAGCAGTTTTTACCCAAACTCAACCAGTGTAGCCTTATTCACGCTTTGCCAGGAAGGGATACTTAGGAAGTACTCTGCATTTGAAATAAAATTTATTTGTACATTTATATAACATACAATATTTGAGAAACTGGGTACAAAGCAATCGTTTTATTAAATAGCAATGAATAACAGACAGGAATGAAAAAGCTGTTTAAGGTAGTAGTTAGTGTTTTACTACATAATGCTGCCTTAGGCCAAATATCATCCACAGCTCTATATTAGAATAGACTGAAATTGTGCTGCTATTTCGCTCTCATGCAAAGGGGTTTCATAAGTTGTTTTGTTTGTTTCTGGCCTGTTGTTAGCAGTACAATCATGTTTAAAAATGATTAACATTACTTAGGGGCATTCTGGACATCTGCTGTAAACAATTCATAAAGCCTGTTCAAACGATATTCTTCAAACGATGTCCTGTGTGGCTGGTTAAGGTTTCCTGAAGTGTTCATGGGAGATTATGCTTATTCCACTTACAGAGTCTGGCCTAAGTTTGGCATTAAAGAAGTAAAAGTTCTCACACTGTCCTTCTGCTTTGGGACACTTGATTACTCATTCATTTCTTTTTTCCTCAAACATTCACAATCGGTATGAAATAGCATTTTAAACAAACGTTCAATATGTCACCACAAGGTTACAACATTTATTCATGTGACAAGCGGGGAAAGGTGGTTTACAGTCAAATTCAAGTAAGAGTATCTTCTCAGAACTAGCAGGGTATTTTACTGTTTTCTCTTCAGTGAGTTGTCTTGGGAACTTGGGGGTCTGATAGTTTGAGGCAGTCTGGACCTTTGAAACAAGTTCAGTCCAATGCTGAGACCCAAACAGACAGACACCCACTGCTCTGACTCATGGACTGGGGAACAATGAGAGTACAATGACCTCTTGCCACGTGTCTGACCCATGACATGGCGTATGACGATTGATGTCGCTTAAGCAAACATGCAAATAACTAGCTACAGGATCCCTTTAGATAGAATGCATTTTAGAAAAGACGGGGGAAACGTTACAAAGTGCAAAAACACCTATACACTTCAGTTTCAACTGAATAGCTATTAAATGATTTACTAAATAAGAGCACATTTGTAATTTAAAAAAAATGCAAAATTGCAAGAATCTCGCATGAATGCATAAGAAGTAGGGAATAATTGTATATTTTAACCACATGACTAGTATTGTTGGGAAAAAAATTCACAGTTCAAATTTCTGACGCATTTATAATGCAATTTTACATTATTATTTTTTTTTACTCATTAGTTCATTGAAATACATCTTCTGGAATTGATTAGTAGGCCTACACTTATGAATATTGGCAAGTCCAGGCAAAGGCTGGTCTGTCCTGGCTGAGTAAAGACACTTAATTTCATCATAGCAGAGCACGAAAACAATGCTGACATCAGCATCACGCATCGACACAAGCACTGCATTTATACACGGATTGCCCCAGAGCCTCTGTGTGTGTGTGTGTGTGTGTGTGTGTGTGTGTGTGTGTGTGTGTGTCGGCATTCTAAAAAATCTATGGTCTCATTCCCTTTGACTATATTGCAGTTGGTCTTAAGTTTAACTTCATTTAAAAAAATGCCTAAATGTAACTGCACTCCACATCATATTAACATGCACTTTCTCCAAGACACTACATAGCAAACAACATTTCTATACAAACCCATTATGATGAAAACTGCACTTTTAAATACTGCAAGTGAACAGTAACCCTCCATGAAGTCAATTTCTTGTTAAAAACAACAAAACACAATCTCACTAAATATAAATAATGCGTTTGCTTCACAAGGGTTTTTTCAGAGATAGAACAGTTGTACCTTGTGCAAGTTAGGATATGGGAAAACATTTGATATGGATAATCCATCATTAAACTTTGGCTCAGTAAACACAGGTAAATTCAGAGATTTATGTACAGAGTAAGTACTTCATGTTTTTAATTACGTATGACAAATACAATAAAAGTCTTCTCAGAGACATGGAAGGTAGTCTACTGGTAACCAAGGAAACAGCAGGTGTTGCCCATTCATAACATGCTTCTGATGTAGAGGCCTATGTAATAACAACAATGTCGATTCTTCTCAACTTGGCTTCAAACGGTCACTCCTGACTTTCAAGAACCATCGAAAAGTAACACCACCAATTACAACAAGCGTGTTCACAGGACAGAATCGAGTAGCACAGAGCTGCTGAGTTGGTCCTTCTCCAGCGGAAAAACATCCCCACCCATCCACCTGGGATTCAATGTCCAGTTATACTTCGCTCTGGTCGACAAAACTGAACTGAAATGTATCTTTTTGCGAATAGCCTAGACATTTCTGAACTTCTGTTGAACGGGACATGTGGACGTCCAGCCAAGTTACTTCTCGGAGTTTGCTGATAGCCACATGACACTACATCTTAAGTGCAGTGGGAGGTAAATGGCTGGGACTTTCAAAGCAGAGTGCGGATACTTCATTTAGGGGGAGTCCTGTTTGAGGAGATGAGCTTTCATGTTAGGTCAGCACTCACTCAACTTCCTGTAGCCATGATTCACAGCACATCGGCTCTGCACACCACCCACAACCATTTACATAACATTAGACTAGATTCTGAACAAATGGGGGGAGTCACTAGGCAGTATAAGCTATTTGAGGAGGGGGGTTAGGTCTAGTCAGTTATATAAACCATGAATTGTATTAGCAAAATGAAAAGTAAACAAACATACTTGCCTATCAACGGCATATTTGCAAATGTATTTAGGCCCATTTTACAGTCTTTTCTATCTTACAGCATAATTAAGTCTCGATTTGGTTTAGCCAAATCTTTTAAAAGAACGACATTCCCGGACTTCGAGAAATGGACCAGACTCAGCTTCAGAAGGGACTGGTCCTGTCTGTTCGGATCGGCATCCTGATCGCATCACACGCATCTCACGCGTCCGACATTCCACAGTCGGAGGAGATGGAGGAAGACCGCCGGCGATCTCGTGAGCCGTGCTCGCCTGCTCAGCTCCTCTCCAGAACCGGCGCCGCACGGAACCAGTCGTCTCCTATTGCACGTTAGCCTTCCGTGAGGCTCTGCACTGCATTCACCACGGAACGTTCCGTTTTTTTTCTTCCCCGCATTGCGCTCTCATGCACAAGCGACTGAAATCGATAGCTACCCAACATCCTCTCAGGAGGGGCGGGGGAGGGAGGGGGGGGGGGGGTATGATTTCTCATATTCGACATCGTGTCGTTCATACGCTGCTTTCGATGACTGACACAGCCGATTCTCTTTCGTGACATAAAAACAAGCTGTCTAAAGAAAAGTTGAGAACTTCAATTACGCAAAGGAAATACCCTGTTTTGCTCAGGACTCTTGACACATTCTCTGCATATATAAAGGCATAGAAGTTAGAGGAAGACGTATACCTCCGCAAGTAAAACAAATGAAAAAGGAAGGGGGGAAAAAGGTACGTTTTTATACGAAGGCCATAAAGAACACTTTTTCCCGTCACACATAGACACAGGGGGACAAGGAGATACAGAAGAGGGAAACGAAAACATTGGCCATCCCAGCAAATGTTTCCTAGGGGCAAGAATTGAGTGTGGAGACGACAGCAGGTTGGGAGCGATGCTGAGGTCGACCCAAAGTCTTCCTGGGTTGTTTAGAAGGCTACATGGATGGCTTGCTCATCATCCGCCATTCCTCGAGGCTCGAGTCTGCCACTCGTGGCCACGTCCCCCCTCAGTTCAAAGCGTGCTGCCGGATGGTGTGGAAGATCCAGTCCATCTTGGTGGTCCAGCCGCCGTGGTGGGCGTCGTTCATCTGCTTCATGAAGTAGTCCAGGGCCTCTTGCTCGGTCTTGTCCAGCGCCAGCGTCTTACGGATGTAGGCGATGTCGTCGAAGGACTGCAGCTCCGGCATCCCGGAGCCCAGCATCATGGAGAACAGGTTGATGAACAGGTTGGCGTGCTGCCGGATTGCCAGGTAGGCTTTGTAACACATCTCCTGGAACCTGCCGGAAGCATGGAAGGGGTGAGGGGAAGCCCTGAGGTCTGAGAAACAGCCTATACCCTTTCGCGTGTATCGCATTACCTGCGTATTCATCCATGCTTGTCTATAACCTCAATAACCACTAATCCAATTAGACTGGTGACCCAGGGATCAATCACAGGAAACTCAGGGCGTGAGGCAGGGTAGATATGTTACACATTATATTGTAATCTATGTACTGAGAGGAAATCAGTAGCCTTTTAAAAACCTCTAAGTGCTGACGGACAGGATGCCGTCCATCGGGTTTTTATCTCTACCTAAGCAGTACAGAAGGGAGGTGGGATGCTTCCTGGAATAAGCACTGCGAATCCGTTGTTATGGGATCAGGGAAGGATGTGTTCATTCCGTAGTACAAGTTGCTACAAATAATCATAATATTGAAACCCCACAAGATCCTCATCAAGTGAAAAGGACAGGCTGTACTGGAAGGGAGAAGGCGGGGGGGGGGATACCTCTCAAACTCTCTGGTCTTCGTGCACTCCTGCGTTCCTTTACTTATCACTATTAGAAAGTCCTGTGTCAACACAAACGGCACCCGCTCTCTCTTGTAGCCGAATTTCTTCTTCTTGTGATCAAGGAAGTGGCCAAAATCTATATGGAACAGCTTCAAAGAGAGAGAATTACACCACAGTGTAAATTAACAAAGGTTAACAAACCGGTTATCTGGCGAATGACACACACACCCTTACCTGCCCGTCGTCCTTGACCATGATGTTACTATTGTGCCTGTCTCCGATTCCCAAGATGAATGTAGCCACGCAGTAGCCAGCACACGACCGCGTGAACAAATCGATGGCCAGGTCATACCTGTGTGGATTCAGCCAATGAACGTGCAGCAATCACTGATGTACTTCAATCTGATACAAACAACAGTTTCCAGTATAAAAAGACAAATGTGTTGGGAAACGCTAATACAAAACGAAGTGAAACACAGAATAAAAAAATAATAAAATATGTCGCTGATATTCAGATACGTAAAATGAATGTCTTCACTAGTGAAATCTACTCATTAATATCTTGACTCACATTTCTCCCTTGTTCTTGTCCTTGAGCCACTGGTGAAGAGTGTGACTGTTAAACTGCAGCGCCCCCTTCAGGCCGCCCTTGCACTGGATCTGCATGATGGTGTGGGAGTTTCTCACGGCCTCTATGAGACCCACACAGTCGCCGATGGACAGGCAGCCGTAGGGCAACATTCTTCCCCAAAACAGAGCGGAGAGATGAAAAAAATAAATAAATGAAGCCAAGGAAAACAAAGGAGGGACATGTAGTGGGCGAAGAGCTGCAGATGGAGAACCCAAAACTCTACTGCCGTAAGCTGGATGGTTTTTAGAACATACCTGCTAAGGAACTAGGATTCAGTCGGCCAAAACAAAATCAGGTTCTCAGTATTACAGTGTAAACTGCACTGATTGCAAAAGGATTCCTTTAAAGCAAGTTTTCGCACATATGACGTTACCTTAATTCTTTTTAATTATTAATTAGCTGGGACAAATATGGCAGGAAGGTAGTACAGCATGCAGTCTCACACCATCTGGGTTTGCGTTTTGACTCCGTGAAGTTTGGGATTCTTCCTACAGTCTAAAGATCAGCAGATTGGTTCACTAGTGTCTCGAAATTTCCCCGTGCGTATGACGCCTTGTTTCCGGTACCACCTTGGACAGTCTTCAGGTACGTCACCGTGACCCTGCACTGGATCATCGGTGTGAAGATGGACAGTCGGGACAGATTAGTGATTGAGATATGAAGAGTACCTGAGATCGAGGCCTTGGTTCTGCCATATGTTCTCCATAATCCGAATGATCTGCAGGGTCAGCATGTCTTGCCGTAAATCTATGAGACAGTTGAGAGTGGACTAAGCGATGGAGACAGGTGCAGTGGGGTCATCTGAGGCTGCGCACCTGGCCGACGGCGGCGTAACGCGTCACTACGCCCCGATCACTGTGAAACTCACCGTCGCCGTTCTTGAAGATGATCTCATTGTTCTGGAAGAGGAGCTCCGACATGATATCCGGATTTTCCCAGTTTAGCCAAAGCGGTCGCTTGGCGGAAGACATTATCCTGCACTCCTCGAGTCTGGAGAAGTTCAAAGAGCAACTCTGAGCATCTCGGAAGTGCAACCGAGATTCTGCTAAACATCCCTTCCCATTCATTCTGTATTTTTCCTAATTTCTAAGTGAATTCGATGAACAGAATAACCTTTTCCCCTTCCTTTAGAAAAACACAAATTGTTCGTTTATAATTTATGGCTTTTCATTTCAATCTATATCAATTTATTTAAATGAATAGTTTGTAAAATTACATCTTTCTACTGGAAAAACGGCAGAACTATACTTTTGCTTAAATGTTTTAAAGCAGTAATATATTTCTGGGCATACTTGAGGTGGTTTTATACTAAACATTTCCCAAGAAAACCAGGATGCAGCTGGAATTTCTCCTTATATATTCCTACAGAACAATCTCACATATATCCTTTGAAGCCTGATACATATTTGTTGTTTATCTGAAAATCAGGCAGTCAACAAGAGTGCATTCCACAGACCGGAGATTGCCCAGCTGGTGGGCGGGATTTAGCGGAGATGTGAAGTTCTGCAAGGCGTCCATGTAGTCTGGCCTTCTCATCTGCTCCACCAAGAACTTCATCTGCACCTGGGGAGGAACAGCCGCGAAAAAGAGTCCAAGTTAGAGAAGGCCGATGGAGAAAGCGCTGCCCCCTGGTCTTGGGCTTATATCACGTGGCGTTTTATAAACATGGGAAAACAGTGTCGACTCCACTGGTATTATGACTTAAGCAAACGTCTGGGGTCCTGGTGAACTTACATATTTACTTAGTTTTCTAAGGGAAATAAATTTAACACCTCTGCAGGGTGCATGAATTAAATTCAGAGACCTCACAAGAAATAACACTAGAGGAGTTTCGCACATGCCACGTTTTGTTAAATTACTTTCCCAATCTGTTATTTTCAGCAAAGAAACAATATTCGTGCATTAAAACTAAGAAATATGTCATGTTCTCTGCAGAAACTCCTTTTCACTTAGAGAAGGACGACAGCCCCCGTTGCATGGCGGGTCCCCCACCAGGGCTAGGGATCTCGGCCAGGCCCCAGCTCTGACTTCACACGAGCTTCCTCCCACAGCCCACAGGTTTACGGCTCACTGGTGACTAGTTCACTCCCTACAGCTAATTCAATCTATGTGTTAATATCCGCAAATGTAGCAGCATACGGGCGAGGGTGTGCCTTGCTTACACCCAGTGTTTCCTGGGATAGGCTATGCATCATCCACAACCAGACAACCAGCTATTAAAAATAGACAGATTACAAACACCAGCTTCTTATGGTTCAGTCTTTCAGCAAAACTATTTAAACTCAAGTAGAATAACGACTCTTCTTGGGAAAAAATTAAATCACACCATCTACAAAAGAGATCATGAAAGCGACTTAAAACATGGGTGAATTATGTTTGTAAGGGGAACTCAAAAGTCACTTTAGGGCCCTCCGGTGTAGTGACGGTTTGTGGTCAACAGGGGGCCCCCAAACCTCTGGGGCCCCAAGCAGATGCACGGTTTGTGTGACGGTAAACTGCGCCACGTGGGCGGCCACTGGCGAGTTACCTTCTGCGTCTCATCTTTCTTCTCCTGCTTCAGGATGTCCGTCAGGTTGATGAGCTTCTCCATGGCCTCCACCTGTCTGCTCAGGTGCTTCAGGTACATCCCACAGGCCCGGCAGTACGACTCCAGCAGCAGCCCGAAGCGCTGGCTCACCGTCTTGTTATGCATCTCGGACCTGGAGAGCGAAAGTCAGACGCTCGGATTACGCAAAATCCTGCCGTCACGGGCTCCCCTTTCCGGACGTCAATCTGGCTTCCGCAGGCCGGTCGGCACCGGGAAGCAAAACTCATCGATCTGCAGCCTGCAGCCTGAATTCAGTGTGTCTTTTCATCGCACTCCAAGAAAAATAAAAATCAACTTACTTCAGGTGCCAGAAGAAGAAGTGTCCGATCCTCTGGTTCGTTAACGCTTTTTTCAGCAGAAATCGCACCAAAGGATTATCAAGGTACTGTTCATACTTCAGGACCTGACATTGAGATAGCGTCAAGTTTTACGGAGGAGAAAAAGCAGCGCCGTTACGATTTACGATTCAACGGGAGTACGCAGGGCATCCCAAACACACCCTCAGACCTACTGTACCTGCACCAACTGAATGAGGTACTGCGAGAGTTTGTCATCTGTCAGATATTTCTCAAGGCACCGAACTGCGAAGTCACGGATCATGGGGTCGGGGAAGTTGCAGTCTAGCAGCTCCATGGCCTGTTCCGGCTTTATAGCCGGCCAGTCCTTCAGAAGGCAGTACATCTTCGAAAGGGGGAAAAAAAACATAAGATTTGGCCAGATTCTGAGGACCGCAGGAGAGGAACGTGAGAGATCATGCTAAACAAGCTTCTGCATACCTGGGCCACTTCGTCTCTGGAGTTCCATTTCACTGCAAGGAGAATCTTGGGCAAAATTTCAGGTATATTTACACAATAGTGTCTGGAGGGGGGGGAAAAAAACACACTAAAGTGAATGTCTAATTCTTAAGGGTTTGGCCGGGTGATCTCACATGTCCTTCTCCCACCCTCTCCCTCTCCATCTCCCCACCGCGAGTGCGTTCTACCTGTGCCTCCACAGGAAGTCCTTCTCCTGCTCAGTGATCTCAGACAGGGGATCTCTGTTGCAGACCAGGCGGAGCTGCTCATTGTCACTCTCTGTCAGGGCGTTGTCCCGGGCGAGCCGGTTGCTCTGCGGGCCCAACAGGACACACGGTCACACACAGCTGCGTGTTACACCGCTACGCTACGGCGCTCGCCACTGACAGGTTCCAGGCCAGAAACACCCCGTAATACAAAGCAGACCTTCCTCGGAACAAAGGGGCCCTTATACGAGCCTGTCCCTAACTATTTTCATTAAAGTGCAATGTGCCGAGGATAACAGGCTTTCAGGCCCTTGAGCTCGTAACTGAAGCCATACTGATTTGGAGTGGGCTGTTTACCGGGGGGAGGGGGGCAGAAAAGGGATTTGCGTAGGAAGGACTTAACGTTTTGGGTGGCCAAAACAAATGACAAGCCTTGCTGAGAAAAAGCTTTACTTCATATTTCAAAATCTAGCTAAAAACCTCGTTCTTTGCTCAAGCGTATAACCTCCCCTACCCATAATATGTTTAGTCATTTTTGTTTTACTTGTTTACTTCATTCAATGTAAACGTCAGATATCTTGTAAAAGCGCTATGTAAATAAAATGTATTATTATTATTATTATTATTTTATTTTATTTTATTTTATTTTAAACCCGCTGCACATTAGCTGGCAGAGCTCAGCTGACTACAGAGGATGCGACTGAAGAGCCCGGAAAGAGCTACTGGCTTCAGCTTATCATTGATCAGATTCGAACTCGTTCACCTCGCCGTACGGGACCCGAGATGCAATTAGAGGCAGGAGCTGTCAGCTGCACTGGGAGAGATAAATGGCTGAACGGCGCAAAACGCTCTCCTGAGATTTCGTTTCATGCGTCTCCAGATACACAAGCGCAGCTCAGACTCAGTGGCTGTTTACTGGGAGTCGTGTAGATTTTCTTTTTTGTCTAAAACAACATCGCAAACAAAATATTTACAAGCCCACTCAAGCAGGGTATATGTTTTCACATTCCGCCAGATAGCCTTAATACCGACACGAGTGTCACCATAAAAACAAAGATAACCAAACTGAGGACTATGTTTTCTCTGCAACAGAAATCCCCACCTGCATTCAGGTAGATTATTCCTATTTTTTAACAATGTTCCATCATCACCAGCTGATGTCCCCATAAAACACAACTTACAACCACTGATGCAGTACAGATATCCACAAAAAAATACATACTTCCTCAAGTGAATCTCATCACCACCCAAGAACGGAAATTCAATTAAATTAAATATGACCGCTAATTCCATAAAGTCCAGTCTTCAAAATTGCTATTATGAAACAATTCAAATCTTTCTTCCACAGGGAGATGCAAAACCGATTATATGCATCTTTAGCTGCAAAGCAGGAACATGAGATACTCAGAGTGGAAAAAAAAAATCCATGACTTTACCAAGCCAGCGTGGCAGTAATTAAAGCCCAGCTCTCTGGAAATGGTCCAGTTTGCGTGCTCCTCAACTGTGGCCATGTCTGGGAACTTCACCGGACTGCTGAAATAATCAAACTCCAACTCCAAGCAGGGTGTTTCCTGAAAGCACAGTTAAGCCACAGGCCATGTAGTGAGCGAAGCTTCAGCTGAACAACAGGGGATCTTCTCGCGAGGTTATTCTGACCTTGTTGGGGTTGGAGCCAGTCACCCCGATGGGGTTGAGCAGGTCTTCCAGTCCATGGGGCACAGGCCACAGGTTGAGTGCCATTTTCCCCGAGACGAGGGTGTGGGTATAGTCAAAAAGGTTCACATTGCCCCAAGCCAGTGGACAGTGTTCCTGACAAAAAAAATCACACCAAAGGTGAGCTCAGTTTACAGCTGAGCCTGCCTGCTGCTCAACTAATTGGTGAATTTTACATTTTAAGGTGTTGTTTTTAGAGTCCAATGGAGACCAATACCTTCACAACATTAGCATAAGTACATAGAACAAAGCCAAACACAACAGGACCCATAAAAGCCTTCCTTATTGAACTTGGAAAAAATAAAAGCTTTGAAAATGAGTATTTTTAAACTGAATTACAAAACAGTATTCCCAACCATGTCTTTAATTGTATTTTCATACAAAAAAAAGTCTCATCCCTAAATTCTGCTTCCAAGGTCACCTCGGAGTCAGCAGAATTACACTTGGATGGTTACACGCCCGTGACCACAACAGAGAAACAGGGCCAAAACAGACCCATGCCCACGCTATTGGCTTGGAGATCCCGCTGCGGGTTATCGCCGCGTGTTATCCGCACGCATATGGGGGGCTTTGGAAAACAGGCAGGCGGTGAAGGACAGACACCGAGCTGCCCCTGCGCTGCCCGCGGGACCCTGGCGGTCAGTGAGAGCCTCACCTCCTTCGCCCCCTTCCGGCCTTTCACGGAGCAGATGGACAGACAGAGGCGGGCCGCCCGGGGAATGTCACAGATGTAAATGTCGTAGTTGAGCCACTCGTTCCACCTGCGAAGGAACACGACCGCATCACGCCCGGCTTTCCTAAGAACGCGACGGCGCCCATCTTGCGCTCGGCGAGGACGCGGCGTGAAATGTTTCTGCGCCAGTGCGGATGGCTGCACACAGATAGTGGCACGAAGACCACCCTATCTGCAGCCAGCACCTTGTAATCGCCCCTCTGTTACAATAATGCCTCAAGATGTCTATGCAGAATGTTCCTACACACCAACAATGCACAGGCACATTTTGAGATAAGAAATACCGAGTAAGAAATGCAGGGAGACGACTGTCAGCAGCCCTTGATTCCCTTAGCATTGAAATGCATTCTTCATCTTAGCTATATCTTTCATTACACAGTACCTGGGATTGGAGCACGGTACTCGCTGGGTATTCACATTGTCGCACAACTGCTCTCCTCCGTGGTATATCCCTGTCCGAACATAGATCTAGAGCAAAACAGAAAAAGAAGTCACGCCCCACGCTCTGAAGAATTGCCATCTTCTAAAAATCACTACTTGTTTTTTTTTTAATTCATAAGTAGTAGACACTGGCCATATAAAAATGGTTCCGCTTCATTACGGGTAGAGTTGGGCACCTTATCGATGTCCCGGATGTTCACATTGACGTATGTGGCGCACAGAACCCTGATCCGCAAGGTGCTGTTGATGGTCCACAGGCATTTGGCGGAGGCCTCGCCGTTCATGTAGCCCGTGGCGGTGGAGATGCGGCGGGCGTAGGACGGCATGGTGAAGGTGTCCATGGGCAGCTGAGAGTACAGGCTCTCTTTGGCCATCAGCATCAGGTTTGGCATCCGTCCCAACATGATGCAGCTCCTGATGTACTGAAGGGGACACATGACGGATTCAGGAATACATTTACATGGCCGCCACGTGCAGGGTGGGACACATACCAGATCACGAGGATCACGTGCCGAAAGCAGCATGAGGTTCATTACAGTCATGTTAGGGACTTTACTGTTGACCAGTAAAATCCAGCAACGTCTGCAGCAAGGCACTGTCGGGTAGTGCAGGTTGCCAGATAGTAGAATGTTACTCTTGGAAACAGATTAAAATCAGAATGTTTTTGTTATTCCGCAGGTAAGGTGTTTGTTAGACTGGACGCTACACAACCATGCAACAAGAACTAGACAGTATACAGAACCACATACAACGATTTCTGTATAAGAATAAATAAGTATGACATCAAGCGATGCTAAGGAGCTATTATTGCAGTAAGTATGGTAAATATTGTAAGATAACTGTACAAGATCTTACGGTTGAAGACCCCGATATCAAAATGAATTGTAAAACATTACTTACACATTTTTATACTGATATGTATACTTAAGCGTGTTGGTTACTTGAATGCGGGACACAAAAGCTTTTACTGTGTTATCAAGATTGCTGAAAAGGCCACATTAAGACTGCCATCTTTACAAACCTGAAGTCCCTACAGTTTGATTTAGGAAACGCTATTTCTCTGCACTGCAGACTACTGACCGACCACAGTGAAAAGTACGGAGAACTGGTCAAGCTTTACTCTATAACTGACCCGCAGTGTCCTTATACATATCATATTTGCTTTGTTTTCCCTTAAGGGCTACCAAGTACTGTCTTCCCCATAACGAAGAGCAGTATACATGTAGCACGATGCATTCCTGTCACAGTGCTTGTCCTTAAATACAGGTGAAATTGAACTTCAGTCTAACCATCATGCCTGAAGGCCCGGAGGTGACTGCAACCTTCACAGTCTCACAAGGCTGCATTAGGAGAAGGATTACCAGCCAGCCACCACAATGGTGGCACTGCCTTGTTTAATTATGAATAAGTCCCTTCAGAACATGTAAGCAAGCTCTGTAGGGTGGTATGTCAACGGCGATGACACACTACCTACCAGAGGCATGTGGACAAGCGTTTAATGATGCCACGGCTCAATAACGCACACGGTGTTGGGGAAGAGGACCTGGTGGACTTTAGTTACATACACGCACATTCATGTGCTAAAAAGCAGCACTTACAGGACGTACCTTGTACTGGCTGAGAGGATATTTTTCCAGGAGGTATTCATCGCAGCCACAGACTTTGAGGATATACTTTCCCTGGTACTCCTGCACGCACATCTTGAGCTGCTCAGGTGATAGCAACATACTTCTGGTCTTCTTACGGATGGCTTCAGCTATCACGTGCTCAGGGACGCAATCGTGGTTGATTTTAAGTGTGTACTTTTGTTTGTCGTTGTTGGGTGACACAATGACCCAGATCACCACAATTATTTGACCTGAAAAATTGATCATAGCAACATGTTAAGACAGGCAGTGTTCAGATGGGTGCAATTTGCACACCTGGGGTATTTCTGTGTCTTTGAACGTACTGCAAAGGCATCATTATTTCGAGGGAAATGTAACTTGGCGTACTTATTCGATCAACCGACCTTTGTCAAGTTTGTTGTATATGTGCTTTGGAAGTTCTGGCGATGATTCCACATTGGGAGGGTAAACATATAATGCCCGACTGTGGGCTCCATTGGCATCCCTGAGGTCTACAGATTCTTTACAGACGTTCAGGATGTTTCTCCTGAAGTCCTGCACCTCGGGGTCCTTCACCAGATCAAACTCACAGATGGGCATGCCGATGGCAAAGCCTACAACAATGAAGACAGTCTTTAGGAACGATTTGAAACTGCAGTGAAAACACATATATGAAAACAAAGATCATGAATGTCGAGGGAGACAAGTCTGAAAGCTCACGGTGTGACAGACTCAAGCACTGCAGACTCCATAAACCAAAAAAAGAAAAGAGAAGTGAAGCTTACCAATTTCTCTGTTCAGAATTTTCTCTTCCCTATTGCCAACTGGTTCGATGACTTTTAGGAATGGCTGAAAAAGTCTGAGATCACATAGCCTCCGCGTCTCATCATAAAACTCTTCTCTTTCAGCTTCTTGGGTAACGCTAACGAAGATGTAGGACGTCTCTTCTTGCAGGAGCTGATTGAGAGGGTACTTCCTTGCCTCCTTGAAGAGTTCGTGTTTAATTGTAATGAGAGTAGCCTCACGGAGGCACTCCAGTGTCAATATCATGCCGTTTGGTAGAAGACAGTCCACCAAAATCCTTGGGGGCATCAAATGTATACCCCATAGCTCTCCCGATGATGGTCGTGGTGGCATCCTTCCCACCTAGTCAAAAGTCTGCCAGTTTAGCTGAAACACCTCTCCTGGGAAAACACAATACAACACTAGTTCCAAAGGCACAAAAAATGAATGTGCATATATATATATATATATATATATATATATATATATCCTCGCAGAAGACAAACTATCCATGCAACTTCAAAAAGAACAACAAAGCCAAGGTCAAAATGAGAAGAAAGTTTCACAAAAGCTCCAAGTCAAGCTTCTTCACTGATTACTTGATTTAAAATGTGGAAAAACATCGATGACCGCACATCTCCTGGGCTGAAATGACCTCATGCGTATTACTCTTAATTCCCCAAGAGCGGATACAAGACGTATTCAGTTCATGAGTCACACCTCTTCAAGCTGTCCCCAACAGAAGCAAGATAACCAACAGAAGGATTGTTAGATATCTTCTCTTCCAACAATATTGTTGTATCACCCTAAGACTGAAAGCTCTCCTCGGATTGTCTTTTTACAAGGCAACAGCAGATGTGAAAATGTACACAATTCGATTTACCAATGTTGTATACACAACAAGGTGCTGGGTGACCAATCTTGTATCACTTTAAATGACCCTCAATGTGTAGCATCTCTCTTTAACAACAGACAATGAAAATCACACTTGACAAGGTCAAAAATTGCAATTAAATTTAGTAAGAGCACTGTTCCTGAATGGCTTACCAACATATAGGAAACACAATGCCATTTTTATCAGCTGACTTTAATACACAGCTCACTTAGGTCAGACACCAAACCAGAATCCAGTATGTTTCCAATTATTTTTAAAAACACATGCTGTTTGTGTAAATGTAAATATAAAAAGTTGGCATCTGTGAACTAATTACTACAAAAATTCAGAAAAAAATACAGTGGTCATGTACTGCTTACAAAAATAAATTAAAGCCTTGACAACGCGAGGTACTGGGAAAAAAATAATTAAGTACTTTAAAAGCCCTAATACCGAGACTGACAGTTAGTGGTTTCTGGTTATTCTAAAACGGAGAAAAATCCTTTTTTAGAAAAAAATAGATTTGCAGCATGCGTTGCCGCTTATAACAGAAAATTTTATTTGAATTACTTTTATGTTTATTAACGGGAGCGTTTTCTTGAATTTAACATTCGGAATATGTAATATAATAATATTCAAAATGGGGCACAGTACTGGCCGGCTGTAGCGGCTAGTAATCAGGTCTCGTTCGCACACTAGCATAATATCTAATTAGTTACGACGCATTTCACCTGTTAAACGATTAGCCGGTTTAACCGTCACGCTATAAATCTAGACGGGAGTCGAATCGTTAACTAGCTAGTTAGTTGCGAACGGTAGACATACAGTATTACGGCTCGGTTCAGAACCCTGCTCAGCTCATACCAGTAATTTCGTACAGGGTGGCATTAAGAAATGTAAAGTATTATTAAGAGTAACAATCAGTGTATCGTGTTGTCTGGTTTATCTCTGTTACCACGTTACCTCTCGAGCTGGTCTGCGGCTTTAAATCATGTTGCCAATGTGGTTCCATGTACTATAGTATCGCTAATTTAACGTACAAAATTACGATTGAAATATTTGGTTTTAAAAAGCCTAATTGTATATTTTAAAAGGCAAACCGGTACACTTTTCCAGCGTAATTCAGCTTTGAAAGAGCGGCGCTGCCGAGCTCGTCGTCCCCGTTTCCCACGCTCCGTCCGCCCGGATAACCGCCTGGGATCCCGCCGATACTGCCGGCAGCTCGCTTTTTAATTATGACAGCTTCAGCTGCAGCTAAAAATAATTAGAAACCCATAACCGTATGAGATATTTAACATCCTGCCCGCGTTGGTCGCCGCTATCCCGCGTTGCTACTCACCCCGCCGCCTTTCCCCCCCCCCCTTTTCCGGGGCTTTTCCAATGTATCCAGCCCGAGGCTCAGGCCTACCCCCGGCCTGACCGCCGCAGCCTCTCCATGGCAGCCGCCGCCGCTGCCGCTCCGCTGTTCGCCGTAGCGTAGCCCGGTGTGGGGAGAGGGAAGCAAGTGACAGCCGGGGAAAACAAAGGCGTGTGGCAGGCAGTATTTATTTAAATGTCCTGGGAATACGCGCCGTTTCCACTCATCCAGCTAGGAGGGAAGCCGCGGTGTCCCACGGCGCGCTGGGTGCCGAGCGGCTAGCTGGCTAGCAGGCATGCTACACGCCCTCCCCTCCCCTGTCCTCCCACCCCAACGTTTGTTTTGTAAACGTTAGCCTGCTAGCCGCGCATACGGAGAGCCGCTTCGGCAGAGACCCCATCCCTGCGGATATTATATTTTATTTATTTATATATATATATATATATATATATATATATATATATATATATATATATATATATATATATATATATACATACACACACACACACACACACGCCGAGAGATGACCATTCATTCCAATATGTTTTGCCTATTATAAATAAATACTAGCAGCGCAAACAATTGAGATTATTTACTCATTTACCTCAATACGCTTAGCCGACGGAGCGCCCTAGGCGAGCGCCAGTGTCAGCGCCCGCCTCCGAGACAAAGTGAAATTGGGCGGCACGTCGGCGCCCTAGGCGGCCGCCTATGCCGCCCGTAGGATTTACCAGCTCCTTTAGGAATGCTAGATTACTTAACGTAATATCTCACTTGAATTACTCGCAGACTAGATCGATTGCTGTGATAACTCTTTGATGGATGTTAATAATGATCGTGGTATTAGCCTAATACGACAAATATTGAGTAACATTTCATGATGGGGACATAGAAACGGCACTACTTTATACGTTACTTAATGTCAGTCATTGACGCTGCGGTATTGATGGATAAGCCACACGCGTATGTTATACAGTAGGCAGTCTTGTGTGGTGCCATTTCTAGCTTAGATCAGCTTTAGAAATAATTTACAATAATGTACAATTGTTAGGCTTGATCTGTCTCGCTACCCGAATTAGCGATTCATGTCCCGTATCCCCACACCAGTCGCTAGTTCATTAGTAAAAGTAGACTACCCTGTGGTTGGGTTTTAGTGTCTTAACACAGGGGAGTTTCTGGCTATTGAAGAGATCAGGGGCTAATTCAAGTTTTCCTGGGCTTTGAGTTTGCTTGCTTGCTTATTTATTTTGAATACTGGCATACTATAGGGCTAGGCTTAAAATACTTGGCACTATAGCCCCGAGTAATCGGACGTCCCTAATGACCTTGTAAAATGCTGTTTACTCCTTGGCATGACAAAAACAACAGCATATAATCCACTGTGTAATTACAAAGGCAATACCCAAAAATTAAAATCTATTGAAGCCAGATGATCTTATAAATATCTCCAGTTGATACAAAGTTATCTTTTGGTTTATTGTCATCTTGCAGTCGAGACAGTATTTTTAAGTGCATCTCAAAAAAGCTTAGTATATTTAGAAAAATAGGGTACCTAAACGGAAGGTAATCAGTGTTTTAAAGATTTAAATTGTCTTTAAGTTGCCCTGAGTTATATTATAGATGTATAATTTATAAGAACTCTTAATTGCTTAATATCTTATTTTACAATAAAACTATTATGATGAATGACTATAATAATAATAATGTAAGTGACAGTTTGGTTTGTCATATGATGTTCACGGAAATGTCATACCACCCTGTAGTACACTGAGTGTGGGGATACGCTGTTTTAACGGGATGCATTAAGAAGAAAAGACACATTTCAAAATAGCTGTAAAAGAATATGCTTGGAGGATTAAATGGCAAAGCACGATCTGATTTTCAGTTTTTCCCAATTTTTTCCTTCGACATTTTATTCAAGTTGTATGGTAAGGGGGGTGCAGGAGATATTACATAGTTCGTTAAAGGTCTCGTTTTTTTCTTTCATGATGCCGTTATCAAATAAATTACCGGAAACAGACAATTTCACAGCTTTTTGTTTTTTTGTGGTTCATGAAAGTATATGCATGCATGTAGTAATATGCAAAATACTACTGTTTACATTAAGTTCTAGCTGGATATGGAATTTCTGAAAATGTGAACATGCATGAATTTTATTATTGAATTTATATACTGTCAATGTGAAGGAAAGGAGTGAAAATGAAGATTAAAGAGCATTAAAAGGTGGCTGGAGATAAACTCATTAAATTGCATGCATTTAGAATAGGGTATAAAAAATATCGAAGAGTTTGGGCCTGTCGGTAAGCACTGTTGGATCAATATTGAGAGAGAGGTTAACTACGGGAAACCTGCCATCCCTCAAACTCTGCAACGACACAAAGAGAAGACTGGGGAGTGAAGCCAAAATGAGATCAACAATCATTCTGAAGGAGCTGCAGGATTTAGAGAGTGAAGTGAAGATGCCATGTCAAGCGCATACTGCATACGGCAGCAGTGCATACTGCCGGCCTGCATGGGAGGGAGGCTAGAATGAAGACCTCAGTCAGAAGAGGTACATGAAAGCGTGTCTACAGTATGCCAGGAAGTATGAGAGTGACCCAACTGACGTATTGGTCAAGGCTTTGCGGTCTGCAGAGACCAAGACAGAGATTTTTGGCCAAAATTCAAAGTGCTGTGTGTGGCACAAATGTCATACGGACTGTGCCTCAGTTAACACCTTACAGTGAAGTACGTTGGGGGGGGGGGGTCTTGCATTGGGGATGCCTTTCATCTTTGGGCGCTGGGCATTTTGTCAAAATTGAAGCCAGAATGGATGGAGTAACAAGCAGGGAGATATTACAAGAAAACCTGCTTCAGTCTGCAAAACGACAGAAGCTTGGGGAAAGTTAACCTTTCTGCAGGACAATGATCCTAAACAGGAGGCTGAAGCAATGCTGGGGTGATTGGATAAAAAGGTGAACGTCCTGAAGGGAAAGAGTCCAAAGTCCAGGCCTAAATCCCATTGAGAACTTGTGGTTTTCTTTGAAAACTGCACCCAACCAACCGTGAAGGACCTGGAACGAGTCTGCCATGAAGAATGGGCAAAAAATCACTCCTGAACCAGTTAACAAGCTGGTTTTG